GCGGTGGTACAGAATAGAATCAATTACGGAAGGGGAGACAATATCAATTTGATTTTCCTGTTTCACTTTGCATCGGTTCATGTCTTTTCATACTTCTCTAAATTCGTCATTTTTGTAGTTTTTTATATCACAGTTGTCATTCAGTCGTGTCTGACATTTTGTGACCTCATTTGGGGTTTTCTTGGCAAAGGTACTGGAGTGGTTTGCCATTTCCTTCTCCAGCTCATTTTACAGTTGAGGAAACTGAGGCAAACAGGTTTAAGTGACTTGCCCAGGGTCACATAGCTAATAAATGTCTGAGGCTGGATTTAAATTCAGGCCTTCGTGATTCCAGGCCTGCCTCTCTAGCAGACATTATACCATCTAGCTGCCCCTCACATCACAGTCTTATTCCATTACATTAATGTAACATAATTTCCTTAGTCTTTCTTTAATTGGTAGATATCTACCTTGTTTCCAGTTCTTTGCTACTCCCAGCAATGCTGCTCTAAACAGTTTGGTGTTATGTGGAGCCTTTCTTTTTGTCAACAACCTTCTTAAGGGTATATGCCTAAGAATTATCTCTTGAGTTAAAATGTATGAGACATTTTAGCCACTTGATTGGCATCATTACAAATGAATTCTCCAGAATAATTGTACTAGTTCCCAGCTCTACCCTAATGCATTATAGTGCCTTTCTTACCACAACCCCTCCAGTATCAACTATTCCCATTTTCTGTTGTTTTTACCTGTTTTCTGGAGGTGAAGTAAAACTTTGGGGTTGTTTTGATTTGCATTTCTCTTGCCATTAGTGATTAGAAACATTCTCTCATATGATTGTTGAAGTTGTCAAATTCTTTGAGAACAGTTCGTGTCCTTTGACCACATGTCTACCACATGTCATTCATTTTACATTGTTACCATTGTTTTTGTTCTCCTTCTGTATCTTCTGGCTCAGTGTATATGTCCTCCTATGTTTGTGAATTCTTCATATTCAGGGTTTCTTAAGACATGATTTTTTTCTCTGCATTCATGTATCACAATTTGTTTAGCTCTCCCTCAAATCAGTGGACATTTTCTTTCTTTCCTGTTCCTTGTTACCACAAAAATTTTTGCTAATATTTTGGTTTTTGTGGGACTTTCCTGTCTATGACCTCTCCTTAGGGTATGTGCCTTGCCATTTCTCCCTCCAGTTATTTAAAATAATTGATTTTTCTTCACTTGAGTAAGATATTGCTAGGGCTGTATAGCATAAAGACAGTTGGATCTAGAAGGGCAAAACATAAGCAATAGGTATTCAGAAGCAGTCTGGTTAGTTGCCTGCCTTCCCATTAGCCTAGCCTGAGCCTTGGCACTTAAGTTTATCTCTGATCCATTGACAGCTAATGAGGTTTTTGTGGTCTGGGGACGAGTTAGTTGTCTATCCTTAGTTTTCTTCCCTTAAGGGGGTAAAATTGTGGAACACATTATAAGCCTTAGTTATTAAAAATAATTCAGTTCCCAATTCTCTGTCTCTCTCTATAGCACCTTCCCCAACCCTTGAGAAGTCAAGCAATACAATGCTTATTTTACATGTGAAATTGTGGAAAACATATTTCCCTATTAGCCATGTTGCAAAAAACAAAAGGCAAGAAAAAGGAAGTGAAAAAATGTTTCAGTCTGCCTTCAGAGTTGATCAGTTTTTTCTGGAAGTGGATAGTATTTTTCATCATGAATCCTTTGGAATTGTTGTGGATCATCATATTGGTCAGAGTAGCTAAGTCTTTCATAGTTGATATTGTTATACTGTTTGCTCTTACTATGTACAATTGAATACATTATGAGTTTTAGAAATATGTGTATGTATATGTGTGTGTGTGTGTGTGTATGCATACACACACACACATATTTCGTGCTTGGCCTGTGGCCCGGGTCACAGAAGCTATGAAGGGTCAGGGACTCTGTGTTGATTTTATATCTATTTTCCATACTTGCCCCGTGTTCCTGCATTTATGTATATCTCATAGAGACCATGGTGTGTGACTGTGGCATGCCTGACAGCAGGTTGGGTGAGCTAAGAATGTGTACCCTTTTATCACTTTTAGAACTTTTTTTTTTTGAGGCAATTAGGATTTAAGTGACTTGCCTCAGGTCACACAGCTAGTCAGTGTCTGAGGTCGAATTTGAGCTCAGGTCTTCCTGACTACAGGGCCAGTGCTCAATCTACTACTCCTTCTCTCTCAGAACTTGGGAACATGGGAAATATCATTTCAGGGTTCATAGAATGCTGTTATTGGGGCAGCTAGGGGGCACAGTAGATAGAGCTCTGGTATTAGAATCAAGAGGACCTGAGTTCAAATCCAGCCTCAGATACTTGACACTTACTAGCTGTGTGACCCTGGGCAAGTCACTTGACCCCGATTGCCTCACCAAAAATAAAAAAGTAGAACCATAGAATGCTATTATTGACAGTTGTGGAAAGCCTCAAAGGTTTTTAGGGCAGTTATGCCAGATATAGAAGACTAAATGAGACTGGGATAAATTGTGGTTAAAGTGACCTAAATTGTCTTCCAGCCTGACTATGTAAGTAAGTATTCTCTGTGTTAGTTAAACCAATTTAAAAGGGTTGTTTAGAGGACAGGTGGAGAAAGCAAAATTAAATCCATTGTGCCAGTTATCCCGGATAAAGGGCTTAGAAAGTTAGAGTTGTTTGCATCCAGTGGACCAGTTCAAGTTACTTTGGAGTTGGGTGCAAACATCTTCACTGACCTGCTCCAAAGCTCTCTGTGTCAGTTGTCTGCTACATGAAGTCTAGACTCTTTGGGTTCAAGACTTTCTATAACCTGACCCCTACCTATTTTCAAGAGCGATGTCACACTTTTACGTTGTATGTCCACCTGAATTATTTGATGCTCTCTGAACAAGAACACTTTGCTACTTCGCTGCCTTTGCTCTTATTATATATACCTATTAAGGTATAGACTTGGAAGAGACCTAGAAGGACATTAAATCTCCTTAGGCTTAGAATGCCCTCCCCACCTTCTCTGACCTTGCCTCTTGAAATGTTAACCTGTTCTTCTAGGCCTAGTTCAAGTGGCACCTCCATCAGGAAGCCTTCCCCTCCCACCCTTCTAGCCAAAAATAATTCCTTTGAATTCACAAACACTTGGCAAGTACGTTTCCTTCTCCCAATTAAAATAAAATAAAATAAAATAAGATAAATTGCTCTCTGGTGATTCCTTCACTCCAGGCCAGGATAAGAACACTTTGATTGTTTGCCTGCCTTACTCATATGCTTGTCAACTGGATTGAATGGTATTCTCAGAATCTTCCCAGATCCTCTTGACTACCAGGTAGAAGTATTTTCCTTTTTGATGACAGGAGTTTAGTAGTCAAGGACAGGCTGGGGAAGCTCTGTTCTAGGTTGTTTCCACTTTCCTTGTGAAAGTGTGAAAGGCTGAGACTCCTCTGACTTAGACAGTGTGAAAGATAATTGCCAGTGCTGAGTCATTCGTCAACACCTTTGAGCTTCCTTAATACAGAGCCAGCTGGAGTGAAAAGCATCTTCTATCCTGGCTCTAAATTGCTTTGTATGAGGGGGGACATTGTTGAATCAGAAAAATGGGACTATGGATGGGTCCTTATTTCAGCTCTGCTGTAACGTTGGGTTCAGCCTGGGACTTGAGAAAGAGGGGTAAGGAGCAAACTTCATCTTTTCCTCATGCTTGCTGGCTCTACTTGCCTATTGTATATTGGCTGTTTGAAAATATGATCACTCAGACAACAACTTTGCCCCATGTTCTCCCCCCACCCCAAGTCTTTGAAATTGGACTATTCATACCTGGATTATTCAAATCCTGAATTTAAAATGATTTAGGGGATTAGCAATAATCAGTCCATTTCTTAAAGTTGCTATGCATGATCAAGGAACTTAACCTGACCATTCCTACTTTCAGTGGCATGGCTTTGGAGTTGTTTGGGCTAGGAGTTGTTTGGGGCAGCACTTAGAGAATGAACACCTTCTTAATTGATCTTTGACTCTTTCAATCTTTGACTCTTTCAGAGTAGGTTAGGAGGAGAAATTATCTGCTGCTTTCTCTGCTGTCCTGATACTTACCCTAGTTACAGCTGAACGTGTGTTGAGATGAGGGAGGGGACCGCATGGATAAGGTCTTTGGAGGTAGAAGTATCTTCAAATATGGACCATTTTTTTTTTTGGCTAGGCAGTGGGGTTAAGTGACTTACCCAGGGTCACACAGCTAATAAGTGTTATGTGTGTGAGGTTGAATTTGAACTCAGATCCTCCTGAATCCAGGGCCAATGCTCTATCCACTGCGCCACCTAGCTGCCCCAAATATGAGCCATATTTTGGAAGGAAGGAAGAGGAGTTTTTTGTAAGCAAGAATGTGAATAAGTCCTGTTTGATAAACATTTATATATATATATGTGTGTGTGTTTTCCCCCCAATTACATGTTAAAACACATTTTTAACATTTTTTCTAAACTTTTGAGGTCCAAATTCTACCCCCATTCCTGAGATGGTAAGCAGATATAGGTTATACATATGCAGTCATGTAAAAATTTCCATATTGGTTATTCTGTATTCAAATTATATCAGTTCTTTCTCTGGGGGTGGATAGTATGCTTCATCATGATTCCTCTGAGATTGTCTTGGATCATTGTATTGACAAGAATAGCTAAATCATTCACAATTCTTTATCGTACAATATTGCTGTTACTGTGTGCAATGTTCTCCTGGTTCTGCTCACTTCACGAGTACATGTGTCTTAAAAAAGCTACATTCTTCTAGGAAGTCTGCTCTGATTGAGTGGTGACAGGAGGGAAACAGTTTTAACTTCTTTGAGAGCTATCTTTCCCTCGACACCAGTAAAATGTGGGTCAAGTCTGGTTCCCTGCGTCGAGAAAATTAGAAGTATAGTCATGTATGCTCCTCCTCCCCGCTAGACAATGGGGGCATCTCTGTGTCCCCTCAGTTTTTCTCTGTGGACTCTGGCTCACCTCACGCTTTCTTCCTTTTTCAGGCTGACAGATCCCAAGGATGCTGCTGCTGCCGGAGGCGCAGGGCACCGTGCATGAGCCAGGCCCTATGTGGCTGTGAAATGGCTCCCTCATGGCCTCTGCAGGGACAGAGCACTATAGTCTTGGCCTCCGCCGGGGAAGCAGCTTCAAGCAGGGTGGTCCCCCGGGCACAGTGCCAACCCCACCAGCTGAGAAACCCTCTGAGGGCAAAACCTGGTACCAGGCACAGCAGCAGGTGAAGCCGATCTGGAGACTGGAGAAGAAGCACGTGGGGACCCTTTCATCAGGGCAGGGCACCGGCACCCTGGGGATCACTGCTCAGCCAGCTTACTTTTTTTACCCCAACACCCTGTGTAACTCTGGGACTGCAGCTGTCATCACAGGCCACGGCAACTCCCCCTGTCATCTGCACTCCCTCCCGGACCTTTTCAGCAGCACTTTGCTGTACCGGCGCGCCAACTACAGACACAAACCTTACCAGCAGCTTGAGTCTTTCTGTTTGCGGTCAAACACATTAGACAAAAGACCCCTCACTCTCTCCAGAAGGAGCCTCCCTGTAGGTCTCCCTGCCGCTAAGGTCATCACCTCAGCTGCGGGTTCCACCCTTCCTGGGGCTATGGCTTCCTCAGCCACAGACCAGTGTCTCCCTCTCAGAGCGGCTGGGGAGCACTCTTCAGGGAAGAGCGTGTCCCTTGCCGTCTCAGGGAAGATCCCTTCCTCCCTCACTTCCTCCTCCTACAAGCCTATACTCAACAACAATTCCTTCCTGAGGCCAAATAGCACTAAAGTGCCTTCACAGCAGGCCTCAGAGGGCCTGCAGCCAGTACCCCCACCCAAGATCCCAATGCCTGTCTCTTGGCATCATTCAGGCGGCACTGGAGACTGTTCCCCCCTGCACCTTGACCACAGGGTATCCAAGAGCAATGGCACTGCCCCTGACCACGCCACTGCCCGTAACACCACCACTTCCACCCATAACACCCTAAACACAACCATCACCAGCCCCCCTGCCAGAGGTGCCTCTCCCACCTATAACCAGAATGTCGCATCCCCAAGGGCAGAGCGGTCTTCCTGGACCTTAGCGGCTAAGGACAATTCCCAAGCCTTTTCCAGGGAGATTCGATTAACTGAGGCTGTGAGAAAGTTGACGGGGAGGGGCTTTGCCAAGATGGGTCAAGGCTGCCGGCTTGAACGGTCCTGTCTCATGAACCCCAGCTTCCATTGGAATCTCCTTAATGGGAACGGACGATGGCAACCCCCTGTGGTGAGTCCTCGGTTTTCCCGAGAGGATTCAGTTTTGGAAACTAGACCCCTCCCCGATGGCTCTGACAACATGGGGTTGGACAGCACTGTCTTCTGTACGAAGCGCATCAGCATTCACCTTCTTGCCTCACATCCCCACCCTCCCAACAATGAACCTGCTGGTGGGACTGGGACGGGTGCCCCTGGAGAAAAACCTCCGGCTGTCAGTGTGACGGATGTGGCCAACCAAATGTCTTCCATCCATCTGAGCCAGCCAGCTAGAGGACAGAAAGAGGGCAAGCAGCCACGGCAGCAGCAGCAGAGCTCACCTGTTAGAAGCTTCAAGTGAGTTGCAGAATATCCAGCTCAGTGTCTTTCAGGAGCAGGGATTCTTAACCTGGTGAAGTCTGTGGACTTCTCAGAACTTTTTTAAACGCATAAAAATAAAATACAGAGGACCACAAAGGAAACCAGTAATACTGAAATAGTTACCAAAATGCTTTTTAAAAGTTTGTGGATCCCAGGTTGGGAGCCCTTGGTCTAGAGGGTAGAGAGATGGATGCCATAGCTCTTAATGAAGTGAGTAGACTTGGCGCTGCACCTCTTGTGGTTGATTTCATCACAGGGCTGAGCTAGAGTTTGATTTCTCCTTAGTGATGAGCAAGGGTCAGGGTGGATTTGAAAAGTTTCTCAGGTTAGATCTTTGGATAAGCTGTAGAATCCATGGTTAGCCTATGCAGACCCAGGCCTCAGCCCTTCTCCACTATGCAGGTTTATGGCCTACAATTCTCAGACAATCTGTCAAGTTCTAGGAGCTAGTCAGCAGCCATTTGAATGTTGGGTAGACAGCTGTACTGGTACTCTGAAGGAGTAAAGAAAAAGAAAACTGGATCCCTGCCAATGGGGAGGGATCATGGATTGTGCTTAGTCTGGGGCAGCACTTGGAGCAAGACATGAGGTCCAACCTTGGGAGCAGAGATTGAATGGAAGGGGGATTGATGGCTGGAGAGCAAAGAGATGTGACAACTGAGTGTGTGGTATCTCTTTTTTATAGTTCAAATACTGACATGTTCCGTGGTGAGGCTGAGGATGTAGAAGAGGAGCTGGGAGATGGGATAGAAGACTGTTGTAGCCAAGATGAGGATGAAGAGGAGGATGGTAAGTAGTTGATGCTGCTGCTCTTGTTTGCTTGCTGTTTGTCCTTCGTTATCAAGGAGGACCATGACATCAGGGCAGTGATGGCTTGATGTGCAAGGGAATTAGATTTAAATGAGGGAGGGCTGTGCAGAGTCACCAGCCTCACTTTCTCCTCTGGAGCCATCTGGGTCCAGTGGCCAGATATAGATCAGGACAACTGGAGATGGCCCAGGGTGCAGTGGGGGACCTTGGCCTTTCAAGCTAAGGTCTTTAATGGGTCTCAGTTTGACTGAGGCAGGGCCTGTTTAATGATGAAGGCTTAATAAAATGAGGCAAAGAATAGTTGCCCTAAGGGCACCAGGAAGGATGCTTTCTGGTGACTGACTGATCCCACCAATCCCTAACTCCTTTTCAGGATGTTTTTTGTTTCCTTCCTGCCATTTTCCCTTTGGGTATCATGTGCATAGCTCCTGGGCACCTTAGAAGTCACTGCTTTTTCTTTTTTCCCATTAGAGGACTCCGAGTGCTCTTCAGTCAGTGGTGTCTCAGCAAGTGAATCAGTTGCAGTGATCTCTCGGTGAGTGACTGGGAAACCCAGAGTCTGCACATCAGTTAGATTGCTCTCTTCCAGATTACGGAGAACTTAGTCATGCAAGCGTCTGGGGCTCTACCACAGAGGAGTCCCTGCCACAGAGTGGCCTACTTTAAATTCAGTTTAGGACCCAGTAGAGATGGAAGGGGCCCACAGAAGAATTCAGAGTTATGCCGTCTTCAGACCTTGAATCCTTCGTCCCCTTGTCACATTGCCACTCTTCCTTTTCCAAAGCCAGCAAAACCTGGATTGTTCATTGTTGCTTGCATGCTGCTGACTACTGCTGAGGGAAGTCACATAACCCTACTAAGCAGAGGACCTCTATAAATTTTTGTGTGCTAATCATGACAAGATCCTTCCTGTTGCACTATGATCCCTTTACTCTTCCCTGATTGACCCTCTGTCCTACTTTTCTGCAGTGGCTCTTCCAAACCCCTTCAGAAGCTATCTGTACCAACCCTTCCCCCTTGGTGGGGTACCCTGTTTCATATTTTACTGAAAAAAAAATCAAGGTTTATTTTGAATTAGCTTTCTTCCCCAACTCCACATTTCAGATCAATTCAACATTGTCTTCCATTCTTTCTTCCTTTTCTCCCCCCAGTCTCTGGGAATGAGATAGCCTTTCTCCTAGCCAATTCTGTCTTGTCTTTCTGTGCCCCCGATTCCCTCCCATCTCTTCCAGGAACTTGCCTTTTTGATCATCCTCTCACCCTAATTTTCTTTTTATTGATAGCTTTTGTTTGGGTATCATATTTATTTCTGAAAATATGCCTTCCCTACTGAATGAGCCTTGTAACAGTGGTTTAAAAATAAAGGAGAAAAACCAGTTCAGCAAAAGTGACCAATGCATTAACTATGTCTGAGTATATATGTGTTATTCCACCTCCATAGTCCCCTGCCTAATATTTAATCTCTCCTTTTCCACTGGGTCCTTCCTTGATGCTTAAAAAAAAAACACACCTGGATCTCCTTTATCCTTTAAAAAACCCTTTCAAGCTATCATCATGTATCTCTCTTTTTATAGCCAAACTCCAAGAAAAAGCTATTTACATTCATTGCTTCCACTTCTGTTTTCTGCTTGCTTCTTCCCCCGTCACTCAACTGAAACGATGTTCTCTTGGGATCACCACTGTTCTCTCTTTTTCTAAATCCAGTGCCCTTTCTCAGTCCTTGTAGATCTGGACCACTCTGTAGAATTTGGTACTATTGACCACCCTTTCCTTATATTCTCTCTTCGCTGGTTTTTTATGATACCACTGATCTCAGCTTCTAGCGAGATCATCATCATCCATGTCCCGCCCTCTATGAGTTGGTGTACTTTGGGGCTCTTTTCTAGGCCCTCTTCTCTCTTCTCCTCTCTCCCTCTTAATAATCTTGTCAGTTTCCATGGATTTGGTTGCCATATCAACGCAGATGACTCCCAGATCTACATATCTAACATTTATCTCTCTCCAGAGGTCCAGTCCCTTTTCTCTCATTACATTCTGGATATTTCTACATAGATATCTCATAGGTGGTCTCTCAAATGTAACGAGCTCATTACCTTTTCCCTTGAAATCCCATCGAGGGCACCATAGTTCTTTCAGTCACCCGAGTTTACAACCTAGAGGTCATATTCAACTTCTCATATTCACTACCCTACTGCTTCCCCATCTCTATTCTTTCTTCTCTCTAATCTCCCTGATTCAGGTCCGCATCACCTCCTTCCTGGACTATTGTAATAGCCTGTTGCAAACCTCCAGTGCATCTTCCATACAGCTGCTAAATCCATCCTCAGAAAGTACATTCTGCCATTCTCTTGCTCAGTAAACGTCAGTGATTGTGTAGGGATTGGGATAAACTCCCTTGTCATTTGAAGTCCTTTTTGGCACCTCTCTCCACTTCTTTACAGAGATGGGGGAACTATGATTGTGAAGCACTGAGCAAATTGCCGAACTTCCTTGATATCGGAGGATCATAGGCCTAGAACTAGAAGAGGCTGTAGGGGCGATCTAACCCAACTCCTTCATTTTACAGACAAGAACCTGAGGCTCGGGGAATGAAGTGATTAGCCCGAGGTCACCCTGGGAATAAATAGCAGAACTGGGCTCAAGAGTCAAGTCATGTGCAGACCTCCTGCTCCAAATCCAATGTACTTCCTGTTGCACCATAGATTTCTGAAGGTGTATCCCAGAGTAAAAAGGATTAAGAACATTTGTCAGAAATGACAATGACCTTGGAATCATACCCTATATGTTCATACCTAGGAAGTTGTTGATGAGCATCTTTTCTTTCTGGGGAGCAGGGATATGTGCCCCCAGCATACTGAAGAAACAGGTCTCTGATACCAGCAAATCTCCTTATTCTTCTGCCATGTTCCTGTCTTCTCATTTTAGGAACTGCATGGAAGTTCTGACCAAACCCCTTGCCAACCATGAGAAAGTTGTCCGGCAACCCCTTATCTACAGCCTCTTTCCTAATGTACCCCCTACCATCTACTTTGGCACGAGGGATGAGAGAGGTAAACCTGCAGAAGCATTTAAAATCACAAGAGCTAGTGGGAAAAAAATTCAGTATTTGGTGTGAAGAGAAAAGGTCTTATGTAAGGATAATCCGCTGGGGAGGGTGGAAATGGGGGGTGGGTTTGGACTGCCTAGCCTCTGGAGGTCAAGTGTAATGGATATACCATTTATCAAACTCTCTGTGTTTAGGTCTTTGTAAGAAACTGTGGTTCTCATAGGCAGACCATAACTTCTAACCCTAACCTAAATTCCCTTCTTAGGCTCTTACTCTTTTCTCTATATTGTTCCCCTTCCTAACTAATCCTGCTCCTTTACTCTCTAAATCTTTCCTGTAGTCTTTGTTCCTTATTCCTTCCTGCCTCTCTCCCTCTTGACTTTTATTACAAAAGTATCTTGTCCATGAGCATCTTTCATTTATTGTAGGAAGTGTTGAGCCAGAACAGTCCCAGAGGCTTATTTGGCCGTGGGTGGAGTTATTGGTAGCTAAGTGTGGTTATTTCCTCTCTATTCTACCACCCCTAACCATTCTCTAGTGGAGAAGCTACCCTGGGAACAGAGGAAGCTGCTTCGTTGGAAAATGAGTACAGTGACTCCCAACATTGTCAAACAGACCATTGGACGCTCCCACTTCAAAGTCAGCAAGAGTGAGTGTCAGCTTGTTCTGCCTTATTTACCAGGACTAGTGTTGCCAAAGTGCTCTGACCTCACTGTGGGACGTGAACCTTTGCATCTGGGGCACTTCCTGCCTTCTGGGGGAGGTGCTAAGGGATTAGGACTCAGCGCAGATGTTTCTAGAGAAGAGTCCGTTAATGAAGGGCTCGTGGAAGGAGGGACAAATGTTATAAACATGAGAGAAGAGGAGGCCCTGAGTTCTTGTCTTTTCATGCCGTGTGAAGGATGGGGGCTCTGAAGGTGGCGAAATAGTGTTCCAACCTTGGCTCCAGAGCAGAACTACACGACAACTCTTGGTTGTCTGATGTGGGCATGGTGCCGTGGTCTGAGTGACCTACCTGGGCACGTGTGGGGGTTTTAGAGCCTCTTCCTTCCAGGGAGGGACTGACTCTTAAAATGTTTCCACAGAAAACGATGATTGGCTGGGCTGTTGGGGTCACCACATGAAATCTCCAAGTTTCAAAACAATTCGGGAGCATCAAAAGGTAGGAGCCATCCCTGTACCAGGCTGTTGGGAAGGAAACACTAAATTGGATAGAGAGGGAAAAGTGGGGAAACCTAAAGACTTTCAGGTAGGCATGGAGAAGGACAGTAGGCTACCAGATTAGAATCAGCTTCAAGCCCCCGGGCTCCAATCCAGTCCACTCACAAAGTGTCTGAGAGTCACTCAATTATTTATTGATTTTCTCCCTCCCTCTCTCTCTCTCTCTCTCTCTCTTTTTAAAAATTAATTTATTTTTAGTTTTCAATAATCACTTCCATATGCTTTTGAGTTTTAAATTTTTCTCCCTTTCCTTCCCCACCTCCCTTCCCAGTACAGTGTGCAATCTGATGTGAGCTTTACATACATTCTTATTAAACATATTTTCTCATTAGTCATGTTTTAAGGAAGAATTAGAACCAATAGGAGGAAGCATAAGAAAGAGGAAATAAAACAAAGCAGAAGAAAAAAAAGAGCAAATAGTATGCTTTGATCTACATTCAAACTCCATAGTTCTTTCTCTGGATGTGGATAGTATTTTCCATCATGAGACTTTTGGAGATCCTTGCATTGCTGAGAAGGTCCAAGTCTATCAAAGTTAGTTATTGTACAATGTGGTTGTTACTGTGTCACTCAGTTATTTAGTTAGCAATAACTGTATCCCAGCCACTGTGTTTCTAGTTATAGCAAGACAGAAAAGAAAGCAACTGGTTTAGTCCTGGCCTTTCCAGATGCCAGCCTGGGTGTATCACTCCAGTCTTAACTGCCGTACATTTCTTCCATGTGTTCCACTAAGCTGGTCATTTTTGTAAAGCACAGGGGCCTGTGGTCCTTTGTTGAGACAATTAGACTCGGTTTCTTGTGACCAGGTCTGCTAGGGGACAAGTACATCTCCTACTCTTGTCTCAGACTGCAGAAAAAAGCCACAAGATGCAACAGAGAGGTGTTGATAGGGCCAGTTGGTCTTTTCCTTTCACAAGCAAAATCTCTCTCCCAATTGCCATTGTCTAAGTGATTCCAGAAGCTGCTGAGGTGGCCTCAGCAGCTGGACTGGATGGCATCCCCTTTCTGGCTGCCTTCTTCCTTTCTTTGCTGCCTTAGCTACTCTCAGCATTTCTCATTTCTCCTCCCTTCTCCCTCTCCTCTTTGTAGCTGAACCATTTCCCAGGCTCGTTCCAGATTGGACGGAAGGACCGACTATGGCGTAACCTGTCACGCATGCAGAGCCGCTTTGGTAAGAAGGAGTTCAGCTTCTTCCCCCAGTCATTCATCCTCCCACAGGATGCCAAACTTCTGCGAAAGGCCTGGGAGAGTAGCAGCCGTCAGAAGTGGATTGTGAAGCCGGTAAGGGGTGTGTAGGAGGTGGTGAGCCAGACCTGGGAGGGAGCAAGAGAAAAAGGAAGGGTCTGAGAGCTGACCCAGTTTCCTCTCTTCTTGCTCTCTAGCCAGCTTCAGCCCGAGGCATTGGCATTCAGGTTATCCACAAATGGAGCCAGCTACCTAAGAGAAGACCCCTTCTAGTGCAGAGGTGAGCCAGCCTCTTTTCCTCTCGTCCCTGGAGAATCTCCCCTACCGTCTCCCAATCTTCCCAGCCACCCCCAGACACTTCTACATTTTTTCTTCCCCTGTCTCCCAGAGATGGCTTTCTTAGCACCAAGCAACCTTTTGTTTTTTTCTTTTTTTTTAATTTTTAGGCAGTTGGGGCTAAGTGACTTGCCCAGGGTCACACAGCTAGTAAGTGTCAAGTGTTTGTTCTGAGGCCAGATTTGAACTCAGGTCCTCCTGACTTCAGGGCCAGTGTTCTATCCACTGTGCCACCTAACTGCCCCTGTTTTTGCTTTGAGGTCTTAGCCCTCGAACTGGTCCTTCCTCCCACTCACCCTCTTTTGTCCATTCTCGAACCTTACACTGCTACTACCGTTGGCTCCTTTCTTCTCTCCCATGAAGATATCTGCATAAACCCTACCTCATCAGCGGGAGCAAGTTCGACCTTCGGATCTATGTTTATGTCACCTCATATGATCCCCTTCGGATCTACCTCTTCACGGATGGACTCGTCCGCTTTGCTAGCTGCAAGTAAGTGGTGAAATCATCCTGTACTGTATGGATCTGCTTAGCAGGAACTAAAGCAAATCAGATAGATAAAAACAATTTTTTTTCCTTTACCTTTTTTTTTTTGGAGGGGGGTGGGCAGGAAACATGGATGGAGGTGATTGGGAAGGGGTAGGGAGGGACTCTCCTCTGCAGGACTGCGTCTGGGAGGGCTGCTTGGAGGAGGACTAAAATAAGAGAAAGGAGCAAGGCTTCAGCTTGAGTTTGTTGGGGTCCTGCTCCCCCACTTCCCCAGTCACTGCTATGACTGAGAATGCCACTTTCCTGTTCCTCAGGGCTGGGGGATGCACTGGAGAGCCTGAATTCTGGTCTGGCAGTGCAGGGGGAGCAGTGAGAATGGATTCCTTCATCTCTCTTAGCCCTTCTGGAGCCAGGAGAACCCTGACCCGCTTTCTCACTTGTTCCTTTCTGTCCCGTTGACTCCTAGATACTCCTCTTCCATGAAGAGCCTTGGCAACAAGTTCATCCATCTGACCAATTACAGCATCAATAAGAAGAATGCCGAGTACCAGGCCAACACTGATGAGAACTCTTGCCAAGGCCATAAGTGGTACTGTCTGAGGGCACAGGGTTTGGGAAGGGCGGTCTCCCAGAAGAGAGAAGGGCAGGGATTGAGGCAGGATCTGGGTCCCTGGTGGTCAGCAGCAAAGAGCAGAGCCTGGCCAGGAAATGTAGGGCAGGTTCTTAACCTGGGCTCTGTTGGAATTTTAAGAAATATTTCAATAGCTGTTTCAGTAGAATCGCTTTCCTTTGTAATCCTTTGTAATTTTTATACATTTTGAAACATTGCCCTAAGAAAAGAGTCCATTCTCTTCACCAGGCTGCCTAAGGAGTCCCTGGTGCACAAATAAGATTATGAGCCCCTGGCTTAGGGGCTGAATCTTCAAAAACACATCTGCTGCCCAGGGCTGGTTTGGTTACATACACGTCCACCTTCTTCCCCCTGAAATGTCAGGGGGTCTAGAAAAAGAGAGGATAGAGAAGATAGCTTTAGACAGAAACTCTTGGTTCCAAATCCTGCCTCACCACCACTGAGAGGTCCTCACCTAGAAACGTGACACTGTTGTGGTTTTTTTTTTTTTCAGGGCACTGAAGGCCCTGTGGAATTATCTGAGCCAAAAAGGAATCAACAGTGATGCCATCTGGGAAAAGATTAAGGATGTCGTCGTCAAAACCATCATTGCGTGAGTCATAGGAGAATCTAGCTTTTGGTGAATTAACCTCCATGGTTTGGTGCTTGGGGCCTCTTTGGGCCTTCCCAAATGAGCCCACTTGGAAGTTTTTGGGGATGGAGGAGTAAGAATTAATGTGTGTGAGTTGGGTTTTGTTTCCCTATTCTTCCCCCACATTCTCTTTGAGGTCTCAGCAGGAACTGGCTCAAGGTTGATGGGGATCTACTGTGGCCTGGTGCTTCCCCTCCTAGGGCTAGTTCGGTTTGCAAGGTGGTTCTGCCTGGACCATGGGAGCAAGCCCATGCTGTACCATCCTCCCCATTACCAGGTCAGAGCCATATGTGACCAGCTTGCTTAAGATGTATGTGCGCCGCCCCTACAGCTGCCATGAGCTCTTTGGTTTTGACATCATGCTAGATGAAAATCTGAAGCCCTGGGTCCTTGAAGTCAACATCTCTCCAAGGTGAGTGGTATCCTCAAGGGGACTCACCAAAGACCTTCCAGTCTGCAGTCTCATTTGCCTTCTCTCCTGAATTTTGGCCCCATTCCAATCCTTATTTTGCTAACTTTGGCAGAGCCTTTTCCTACTTTGGACCTCAGTTTCCTCTCTATGTTAAATGGATAGAATGTTCCCTGGTCATTCTTTTCTCCCATCATCTAATGGGACTTGAAGATGTCCCTGAGCCTCGTGTCCAGCTAGGGTCACCCTCAGGAGGAGAGAGTTCCTAAGAAAGGGTTGCTACTTCTTACTCCTGGGGCAAGGAGACCTTTGCAATGGAACTGTTGCATTAGAAATCAGGGCTGGGCAGTGTGCTAGAAAGAGCCTGAGTTAGAGTCCGGAGACCTCTCTGGATTCTGAACTAACCTTTTTGGATCTCTTTCCTCATCTTTAATAGTTACACCCACTCCCCCACAGGGTGGTGGTTGCAAAAGCTCTGTGGAAATGTTAAGTCATTATTACAGGGATCCCAAGCCCCCTGAATTCTGCACGAGCAGGCAAGGGGAATGAGCAGAATTAGAGCCAAATTGTAATTCTCGACAAGAAAAATTCTGGAAATAAAGAAGTTGTTGCTTTAATTACCCTGTGTCTGCTTCCCTTCTGCAGCCTTCACTCCAACTCACCACTAGACATCAGCATCAAGGGCCAGATGATCCGAGACCTCCTGAACCTGGCAGGCTTTGTCCTTCCCCATGCGGATGACGTCAGCTCTAGCTGTGGCAGCTCTAGCAGCTCCACCATCAGGTGGGTTCCCCCCCCCCTGCCCCATTGCAGCCCCTGCAGAGTGCCAACCCCAAGCCCCACCCAGGCCGCTCAGTTATCTGTCTCCTAGATCCAGGCAGGCCTGGCAAGGTTTGTTCACCTTGATGTTGGGGGCTATAGAGAAGTGTAGTATCTGAAATGTGGCCTTTCGACAGCCTCCTGATTGGAAGCATGTTGTGGCTTCTCTAGCACAGATCCCAACCTAGTTCTGTTCCCTTCTCTCTCCCTGGGAAAGGGCCTCATTTTCAGTGCTGTTGGCCCCCACCTAACCCCTCCTTCTCTTTGCTCTGACTTAGTCTTAGCAGTTCCACAAAGGAGAAGAGTAGGCTGGCTCCTGAGTACTTCACAGCAGAGAAAATGAAGAAAGCCTATTACCTGACCCAGAAGCTGCCTGATCAGGTGGGATGCCGAGCCTGCCCCCCGCCACCTTAGGAGCAGAGCTGGGCCCATTCCATGCCTCCTGAAAGCTGCCTTCCTTGTGGCCAGACCACACTGACTTTCAGATGGATTGGGTTTTACTTAGTGTCAGCTCTGTGACAGACTTGGACTTGGGGGCAGCGGCAGTTAGGAGTCTAAGGAAGGACAGACCAGCAGAGGAGTAGGTTGGGCAGAGGAGGAAGCCAGCCTGGAACTCTGGGTTGTCCCCTAGACTCCATCTATTTTACTGTCTGACCTTGGACAAGTCACTTAGCCTCGGTGGGCCTCCCCTACCTCCCAAGACTGCAGAGCATTATCTTCTGTCTGATCTATACCCCATAGCAGTGAGAGGAAGGGCAGCGGCCAGATCCAGAGGTGGCCCACTAGTGTCCCCATCCTCCCTTGCCCTTTCCTGATGGAGTGACAGCTGCTGGATGCCTGCTCCAGAGCTGAGAGGATAGGAACCCTTCCCTTCAGTTCCCGGCCCCTAAACCCACTTTAACCAAATTAGCACAGCCTCCCCCCACATAGATCAGGTTTAGCATTCTCTGTCCCCTCAAAATCTGGCTTAGTGTGCTCTGCCTCCTGAAAATCTGGCTTAGTGTGCTCTGTCCCCCCATAGCAGGCTCAGTGTGCCCTGCTCCCCCCAATACCAGGCTCAGTGTGCTCTGCCCCTCAATACTAGGCTCAATGTGCTTTGTCCCCCCAATACTAGGTTTAGTGTGCTCTGTCCCTCAATATGGGGCTCAATATGCTCTGTCCCCCCATATCAGGCTCAGTGTGCTCTGTCCTGCCAATACCAGGCTCAGTGTGTTCTGCCTCCCTACATAGGGCTCTGTGTTCACTGTGCCCCCATGCCTGGTGCTGTTCCCTGTCCTCTGTCCCTCTCTCCCCACCTGCAGTTGCTGACCCTGTCTCACTCTCTTCTCATGCTGGGAACTCCAGGATTTCTACGCGTCGGTGCTGGACATCCTGACGCCAGATGATGTTCGGGTCCTCGTGGAGATGGAGGATGAGTTCTCACGCCGTGGCCAGTTTGAGCGGGTCTTCCCCTCTCGGGTCTCTGCGCGCTATCTCCGTTTCTTTGAGCAGCCGCGTTATTTTAATATCCTGACCACGCAGTGGGAACAGAAGTATCACAGCAACAAGCTCAAAGGTGTGTGTGCCGCCTTCTTGTGTGGGGGGCAGGCTGGAGGGTTTGCGCAGTGGCCCATGTCGTCTCCTTCCCTTTCTCCAGGGGTGGACCTGCTGCGGAGTTGGTGCTATAAAGGCTTTCACACTGGAGCCGTCTCTGACTCTGCCCCCATGGTGAGTGAGGCTGTGCTCTTCTAGAGTGCAGGGTTGATCCAAGGGTGCTGGGAGTGGCCATACCCCATTACCCCCAGAATCTGTCCCACAGCCGATAGCTCTCCTCTTTGATGTTTGATACTCAGCGCTCAGGCTTGGCCTTTGTGTCATTGCGTAGGAAGGGAACATCCCTGCTCTTGTGCCCCCTAGGCAGTAGGGGACTGGAGTGTCTGGAATGTCCCTGACTGCTCCAGGTTTGGGGGCCTCACTGTGTTCTTTTGTTTTTAGTGGTCCCTGCCAAGATCACATATCATCGTGAAGGGTGACATCCTCCTCAATGCCTTCTGTAAAACGGACCTGAACAAGCTGGGGTAAAGGTTGCTGAAGGGCAGAATCTGGGCAGAACTTGGGTATGAGGGGGTCAGAAATCTGGGAGTGGCAGTAGAAATAAACCAGTGGCCAGGCTTAGCAGTATGGGGGTCAGGGAGGAGCTCAGAGAGTAGAGAAAGCTCTTCTTAGTAATAAAAACCTTCCCCTCTCTGGCCCCTCCTGGGACAAAACCAAGCAATCTCCAGTGGCTGATGGTGGCAGGTGCTGCCACACTCTCTTTCCTGTGATTCATCAGCCTTTTGAGCGCACACTGAAACGGTGATGGCACCTCCTTGTTGGACAGGCTGGCAGTTCTCAGGCAGGGGCCTCTACTCTCCTGGTGCTTGTGGACCTGACTGTCCTTTCAGGTTTTTTGGGAGCAATAAAAAGATAGTTCCTTTCCAGAAGAAAGACTGGGAACTGACTCCGGACCTAGGAGACTTTAGAAGACTCTGCTAAAATTATCAGTTACTTAGTTGCAGCCATTTGGGTCCTTGAGGGGATGGAGCCATCTTATGAAGGGAGAAGCCACCATCTTCAGGAAGCCTCATACTTTCTTCTCCCTTTTCTCTTTCTCCCAGGAAACCTACTCATTCTACAAAGGATAATGAGGATACCACCCAAGACTCTAGCCCCTGCCCTCCAGTGTTACCTATGCTTAAGTATTCAGGGCAAGCTCAGAGACTCCCTGTTTCCCCCATCCCCCCTAAAGCCAACAACAACCTTGTTGGCTCCGTGAACCCCTGATCAACTTCCTTCCATTAACCCCACTCCCTCCCCAGGAGCACCAGCGATAGCTACCTCATGGGAACCGGCCTGCCGGCCAGCCTGGAACCCCAGCCCTGTCCACCCTGCCCCTGGTCAGAGTATTTTTGGAAAAGGGTGAATTCCAGAGAGGGGGTTTCTATGAGGCTTAGAAGGATGGTGGGGTTGGGGAAAGGGCAAGGAAGGAGCTATGTCCTGCTCTCCTGCCTGCTTGCCCAGCCCTTGTTATCCCAGTTGAGAAGCAAACAGTGGCCATTGCAGCCTTATAAAGCAGGGTTTGATTTCTACCCTCAGAGCCATGTGTGATTTGTTTTCTGATCTAACAACTGACCTCTTTTCCCTCATTCACGCTTTGGGCCAGAAACCTCCTTATTTCTTCTCCATCCTGCCCTCAGACAGAGGTTGGAGGATCCACATCAGCTTTTAGCTGATGGAGCTTGTCAAGGCACAAGGATGGGACATTTGGGGGTCAGAAGAGGGAACGGTGGCAAGAACACAGCTTCCTTGGTTTTTGCCATCTGTCCTCTCAGACTCATTTTTCTCCCTTTCTTTGTATCTTGTGGGATCCCAACACATGTGTATGATGTAGCCCTCATCATGCCTTCCTTTGAGAGAACCACTGTTCCTCTTTGTCAGAACAATAGCTGGCTTATGAGCATCAGATGGGACATTTTTTCTGCCTTTAGTGAGGTAGGCTGTCCAATCAATCCCAGCTCTTCCTTCTTAAGACATGAGGCTGACGCTGTAGTCCTTTCCCCTTTCTATTCCTTTTCTCTCCTGCTTTGTGGGAAGGTCTTTTGGTACCTACCACCATGGAAGCTATCATGTTTCTCACCCCATGCTCTGCCCTTCTTAATTCTCTCCTCCAGGGCCAAAGTGGAAAACACAGTAGGTTCCACAATAGGCCAATTGGCTCAGCCGTCTCCTGCCAGAAACCTGTCAGGTGTCCATTCTGCAGTACTGGCCTGGGAGGGATGCCCCACATCAGGTGAACACAGGGTCTAAATCTTCACACACATGACCATTGTAGCTCTCACCATCTCAGACTCTTCCATCCAATCCGCACCTGGACTCCCATTCTACCGCTCCTCTGCCCATTGTCATATTCTGATAATCTGATCTTAAAACTGTTTCCTCTTCAGATTTGATGCCATCACCCATCACCTTCTGACTCATCTGCTACTGAATCTGTGGAAGTCAAGAGATTTCCATAGGGTTAAATAACTGGATGAGGGGCCCTTAGATGGGAACTATTATGCAGTTTTGACCATAGATCTTGCATTCAAGATCTAGTATTGGAGTCCAAAGAGCTTCCATTCTCTCACTAGAGCAACAGAATTTCCGGGTTAGAAGGGACTTTGGCAGGCATGTAGTCTGACCTGTACTTGAAAAAGAGAACCCCACTTGCCTTTACTGTATGAACTCAGTTGAGGGGAAACCCAATACTTCCAGATAAACCACTCTTTTGGATCGCTGTCTTTGTTAGGAGTGATTTTCTTACATCAAGTATAAATCTGCCTCTGAAACTTCTACCCATGTCTCCTAGTTTTTGCCCTCTGCAACCAAGAACAAGTCTAAAACTTTTTCCATATATATGACAGACTTTGATGTGCTTGATGGTAGTTGTCATGTCCCCTCTGAGCCTTTTTTTTAAAAATATTAAATCTTTTTTTTTTTAAATTGGGGTCTTTTCATAATACTATGCCCCGCCAGTAGAACCTAGTCTTGTAACATAGAAGTACAGAACAAATCTACCCCCTTGACCAAGTTGGACAATGTATACCCAATCTACAGCTGTCTGCCATCTTTAGACCAAGAGGGAAGAGGTAGGACTCATCATCAACCCTCTGGAGCCAAGATCATTGATCAGTAGTGTTTGAATTACTGTGGCTGTTGTGTATTTTTTTTTTCCTGAGTTCTGCATAATGATTATTAACAACTGACATATAGCTTGCAGATTGCATGCTTTGTGTCTTTTGAACCTCAAAACAACTTTGTGAGGTAAGTACTACTAGAGTTATTCCCATTTTATAGATGAGAAAACCGAGGCTCAGAAATTAAGTAACTTGCCCATCAGAGGTGGAATTTAAATACAGGCTTTCCTAACTATAAACGCCACATTTCTTATTTTGCTCTGTTTAATTCTTCCAAATCATTCTACTTTTTGGAAGTGTTTCTGAATTTTTCATATCTGTTGCTGCTTACTGTGAAAGAATATTCCATTACATTACTATTAACAACAGTTTGTTCATTCTGTCAGCGGGCACTCCCCTTGTTTTCAGTTTCTTGCTAACAGAGACCTGTTATGAATATTTTGTTGTATGTGGAACATTTCTCTCATGGATGGCCTTGGGATATGTGTCTGAGGGTGGGATCTGAGTGTAAACATTTCTCAGTTCTTTCAGCCATTCCTTTTAAGGGGTGGCCTGATGCTTTCCACCTCCTCGTTGGATTCATTCTGGATAAATCCAGATTTTTGGTGCTTTTATTAAATGTGTCATTCAGAGCTAAACACAGTCCTCTAGACATGGCCTAAGGCATAATATAGTGGAATTATCACCTTCCTCATGTTGGACGCTGTGTCTCTCCCAATTCAACATTAGCAGCCAGATATGATGGATGACAGAGTGCTGGGCCTGGAGTCAGGAAGACCTGAGTTCAAATTCAGTGTTAGCTGCATGATTGGGCAAGTCACTTAACCCTGTGTGCCTCAGTTTCCTCATCTGTAAAATGAGCTGGAGAAGGAAATGGCAAACCACTCCAGGATCTTTACCAAGAACATCTCAAATGGGGTCATGAAGAGCTGGATGCAACTGAAATGACTCAACAGCAACAATCCAACATGGCTTTTCTGCCTGCTGTACTAGTCTGTTAACTTGCATTGAGCTTTTGATATCTTCTAAGTCCTCACTCTGTCGTGCAATGTTTTTGTTATCCTTCCTAGTTTTGTGCTGTCCAAAAATTTAATAACCATACCATTTATATCTTTGTTCAAGGTATTAGTAAGAGCAGCACAGAAATGTATAGAAATTGAGGCTCAGAAAAGTAAATGATTTGCCCAGGGTCACACAGCTAGAAAAAAGTCTGTGGGGGAGATGTCCTTTTGCCTCTAGTTTAAAATCCTCCTTAACCTGGTGTCTAAGGCTTGCCTCCATCTACCTCCAGCCTACCTTTCTGGCCAGACATATTTCACACGATTCCCTTTCACATAAATGCTAGTGTTGCAGCTAAGCTGTATCATGAGTTGTCCCCTGGTCTTGACTTGCCATCTTCCACCCCACCCTACATTTGTGGAGACGATACATCCCCTATGCTGAGAACGTCCTTCTTTACTGGTGCTAGTTCAGGTCTTCTCTCAGAGTTCAGCTCAGGTGCCATCTCTTCAATGAAATTACTCCTGATACTCCTACCTCATTGGCATCTTCTTCCTCTTGATAATTTCCTAGAGCACTTTGGCTTCTTGTGTATAAAGAGCTATTATTTGCAATTTTGTGTTATACTTACTTGAATATATGTCATTCCCCCTTCCTCTTCCCTCCCCCCCAAAGCTATGGATTCCTTGAGGGCATCAACTTGCACATAGTAAGCATTTGACACATATGTTAAATCATCCAGTAAACGTCAAAAGAAGAGTCAAGTGGGGGCGATTGGCGACTCCCTGTTAAGGGACACTGAGGGAGCTGTAAGAGCTTGGGGGGGGTTTCTAGGCTTACACGAAGAACCTCCCTAACGTTGTCAGAACTGACAACTGCTCCTTCACTTTGAGTCATTCTCGTGGGACCCAAAACACATTGTGAAAGATGAAAAACGGGTTGTTGTGTTGGTGGTTTTCGTCACTGCTGCTGATTGACGTCCAGGGTAGATGGAGAGGAGCGTTTAATAACGTATGTAAAGAGTTTTTACAAACTTTCAAGGGCTATGAAGTGCCATTGTGTTGTCCTCTTGCTGCTGCTGTCTTTGCTCAAACAAATCTTCTCAAGCTCTCTGAATTCCTCACATCCCTTACTGAGTAATAATATTCCATTACATCCCTATCTCATCATTTGTTCAGCCACTTTGTTTCCGGTATTTTAATATCACCAAAGGGTTGCTATGAATATTTTGATATATATGGGGTCCTTATATCTTTGACCTCCTTTGGGTTCATGCCCAGTAGGGGAATGTTGGGTCAAAGGATCTGAACAATTGAGTAATTTTTTTCTCGTGATTCCAAATTTTTCCAGAAGGGTTGAACCAATTGACAGCTTCTCCAAAAGTGCATTAATGTACTTGCCGTCTTTAGCTCCTCTGACATTGACTGACTCTTCTGTCTTTGCCAGATTTTCTTTTTTTAAAAAAGGGTTATTGATATCTTTGTGTGTGTGTGGTTTTTTTAACATCTCCATTTCCTAGTGATCCTCACCACTTCCAGAGAGCTATCCTTTATAACAGAATAGGAGAGGGAAAAGCAGCTTAGCAAAACCGAAATGTTGAAAAAATTTTACATTCTGTACAGCGCTGCACATTCATGATCTCCTGCTTCTGAAGAAAAGCCGATTTGTGGGAGTTTCTAACTGAGCTGAGATTGCCACTCCCCTTCAACAACAACAATCAGCCTACTAATCCAAGAATTTCCTGCTGGATTACATAACACTACTGCTCCCTCTCATTTTCACTCACAACTGTTAACCCAGGTCACAAGCAAGTGACTAGCTTTGAAGTTAAGTCAAGCTTTGAAGACCACTAAAAAAAAACCCAGAAAGGTAGCCAGAGATCTGAGCAGAAATCAACAAAACAGCACGGTTAAAGTTCTGAAGAAGCCAGGGCCAAATATTTGTGAAGAAAATGAAGCAAAATGACAGTTTTGTCTAGGTGAAATCATTGCTAAAGTTATTGATCATGAAGGGCAACCTAAAGGGGAAGAGAAGCCACTAAAGGAGGCAGTGGGGAGGGAGAGACAACCAACCCCACATTCTTTACTTCAGTGCCATTGAAAGATTGATGATATCACAGACGTCAAAGATAAGAACTCTGCCCTCAAGTATCTCATAGCATGGTAAGGAGATAAGACCTCAACACATGTAGTTATAAGACAGATATTTGGTGATTGTCAGGAAGCATTAACTTTTTGGTGTAGTTGGTATGCCCCGGGAAGCTAGTGGATGACAGATTTCCTTTGACCTACCAACCCCGATAGCTTAGCCCTCTACATGGACCAGTAGGGTTTGTTCTCCAGGGAGAGGCCTCTTTTGGCAGCCCTATTGCCCTGTGCTTCTATTATGTCAAGTTTAAATAGAAGAGGTTCCTCTTTTCCAGTGATGAGAAAGGACAGAGGTTGGATGTTTAGCCCTTGGGTTCTCCAAAGGTGGTACCCAGTAGTAAAAGTTCTAATACTTGCCTGTGACCTGATGTTCCCCCAAAGAGTCTGGACTCATGTCAAGCACCGATCCCCAAAAGATAATGTTCTTCCTGCCTTATTATACCCCCTATGGAGCTTACTTCAGGGGCATCTCAAAAATATATGGCATAGGAATCGTTTGTATGTTTTCCCACAGCTTCTACATGAGTGTTCAATGTAACTATCAATATTGGGGATGGCACAGCCTTTATGTCACCCTACAGTAAAGGCAGGAGATAAAAAGGACCCAGAGGAGCCCATGAGGAGTTACAGAAAACAAATAAAGCCCCCATGATAGTTCAAAAGCTTCCTTTGAAAGAACTAAACTTGGGAGTTGTCATTGGGTCAACCTGTTGACATATCCAAACCTTCCCTAGATGGTTCTCCCAAATCTTTAGTACCAGGTGGAAAGGCCCTTACACAATTAGTGCTAAGCATCTTTGTGGCCTGGGGATGCCTCTTTCCCTGGCCCCCATCTCCATTTCCCAATTTGGGTTCTAAGATACAGCTAAAGAAATCTTAGCAGATTCTGGAGGTTTTGAGATTAATCATTAAGAAGTTTGGAAATTGATTATTTTGGGATTGTTGGAGAAAACTTCTGAGACTGAGGGTAATTCCAGGAACTCACCCTCTGCTCAAACACCAATTTCCAATCCTGATTCCTCAGCATTCCCCACGCTCTTCCCAGAGATAAATATCTCAATAAGTAGATTGTACAAGAGAAGAGAATGCTGGAGAATTGTAGGAAAAACTTAGCCCTCCCCATCTGGCAAAAGGAGGAAAGAGGCAGCTATCACAGACTAGCAGTGGCCCTAACAGCCCTGGGCACTTTGCAGCCCACCCCTCAATGCAAGGCCTAGGAGTTATCATACAAGTTCAATACATGCTGCCCACCCTTCCCCAGCCGCTGCAAACAGCATCAGCCTCAGTAAATTCTGCAGCTGTGGGAGAGGTAGACAGGTCAGACCTATGATGAGATTCCCTAAGCCCTGCCACTAAGAATTGTCACCATTGGGAAGGCCCTGGCATCAGCCACCCAAATCCCTGGCAAACCATGGCAATAGCGTTATGAGAGAAGAAGCAAACTTCTCCCATAGTTCTCTGTTCCAGTTGCAGAAATGTATCAACTTTGTAATTTATGGCAAGGTGTTTTATCTCTGCCCTGTTTCCTGATTTGTAAAGGGAAAAATAGTAATGGTTGTTATGGGATTGAAATGATATAATGATTGTAAAGTGCTTAAAACAATGACCGGTGGGGGTGGAGCCACGATGGCAGAGTAAAAGCAGTGACTTGC